AGTTAAAAATAATTACGTTGATGTTTTTCTTTGCGCAATTTCTGAGGGACATTTCACTATACAGAAAGCCAGTTAAAAATAATTACGCTTTTTTTTCTTTGCGAACTTTTTTAGGGACATTTCACTATACAGAAAGCCAGTTAAAAGTAATTACGTTGATGTTTTTCTTTGCGCAATTTCTGAGGGACATTTAATCAAACAAAGCCAGCTAGAAGTAATTACATAGATGTTTTCTTTGCGCAATCGACCAATACTTTAACAAACTGTGACAACATCGTGCTCGTAGAAGCATGAGCTCCTGCAACTATCAGGGTTCGTACGGGTTTTGGAAAGTCTTGGAAAGTTTTGGAAGTCAATAATGCATTTTTCCAGTACCTGAAAAGTTTTGGAAAATTTCTTTTTCGACCACTGGGCGATGGAAAAAAATTTTTTTTTTTTTTTTGGTTGCCCAGGTCCTACCTTACAAAGAACTCTTTTCGTTATATTAATTAAAAACGCCGATGAGAGACTGCGCTGATTTATAGTATGAATGTTCAACAGAACTCTTATCTTGTAGTTGTTGAGATTTTTTGTGAAATAAACAGAGAAATAAATGTTAATATGGTGCCATATTTTGTATTGGTTTGGATGTCGAATGTTTTTCATCCATAAATTTCACTTTATTTTTTTGCTTATGTGGTTTTGGAAATTTTAGTTGATGGGCTTTGAGAGACTTTTGGAAAAGTTTTGGAAATTTTCAGTGAGGACTCTGTACGAACCCTGAACTATGCTGCGTTATTCGGTGGTTTGTGTGGACCCAGTTTGTACAATGCATCCATCACATAATGTACGACTCTTGGAAAGTTGTGACAAAGATATTTCCAACCACCTTTCTTCCCAAACGTACAAGGAGAGCAGATAAGGGACCACTTTATAACTTTTTGAAATTTAAAACTGAGACCTTTGCTTCATCTTACTTCAATCGTGTGGTTCCCTTATGGAATGATCTGCCGGCTGAGCTCAGGCAAGCTCTCTGCACCGTCCTTTAAGCGCTTACTTGTTAGTCATTATAATGACAAATTTTTGTATTCTCTTGTTGAGACCACTAATACCTGTTCTTGGGTGACGGAATGCCGCTGCTTCAACTGTAGGGCTTAGCCATTCATTTATTAGTTACCTGTTTGATCTCTTTTTTTTCTTCTTAATTTTAGTTGGAGACTATCCTATAGGTGGAATGTCACCTGTCTAGTTCTCCGCAACAGTTTAATTGTTGGAAGCTTAATAAGTAAATAAATAAAGTCAGTGATGACTCCGGTGTTTCTTCCGAGTTCAAGTTACTTCTTCATCTATTTAACAAATAGACAGTTTTTATGTGTCTGTCCTCTTATTGACGATACATTGCGTCATCACATGACTGATGTCTATTTGTTAAATAGATGTTAGCAATCAACTTGTGAACTCAGCTGTCTATGGAATCGTAAAATTAGTTGAAATGATGCGGCAAAAAATTTGGTAAATACATTCAGTCCTGGTCATTCAGTGGTAAATACTTCAGTCCTGGTCCTTCAGTGCTTGTCCTTCAGTCCTTGCCCTTCAGTCCCGGTCCTTCAGTTCTTGTCCTTCAGTTCTTGTCCTTCAGTCCTTGTCCTTCAGTGCTTGTCCTTCAGTCCTTGGCCTTCAGTCCTTAGCTTGTCCTTCAGTCCTGGTCCTTCATTCCTTGTCCTTCAGTCCTTGTCCTTCAGTCCTTGTCCTTCAGTCCTTGACCTTCAGTGCTTGTCCTTCAGTGCTTGTCCTTCAGTCCTTGTCCTTCGGTCCTTGTCCTTCAGTACTTGT